CTATGATTATTTTATTCCCTTTGCTCTGCGTTTTATCTTAAGTTACTCGCTTGTTTTTTTTTTGTTTGTTTTTGTTTTTTGATATACTTTCAAATTTTGCCATCCGATTTTTTTACCAACCGGGTATAGAATTAGTATAATATATCTATCTATCTATCTATCTATCTCTCTCTCTCTCTCTATATATATATATATATATATATATATATATATATATATATATATATGGGAGGTGTTGAGATCAAAATTGATAATAAATCGGAAAGGGGAAATTGGTGGATCAAGTTCCATCTCTTGAGCCGTCCCCGCCAGCTATGGGTTAAATAGTAGAAAAAATTACTCTCTAATCGTGATGGCAACCAACCTAGGAGAAGAAAAATCTCATAATTCGAAACCGTATGTAGCCCTGGCATAGCAGATACTATGATGTCATCGACAAAATTATATAGTTCCCAGTGTCTTTATAATTAGGACTGTGGTTGATTTCCGATTGCGTTGATGCATAATTGAAATCCTAAAATCTGAGTTATATTGATTTGCAGGGATTGTCATGGCCTTTTCTGTGGAGCAATATTTTGAGCTAACGGAACGCGTGAAATCTGGCTTAGGTCTGAAATGACAGCAGTTAATCATAGTTCTATGATATTCTGAAAATAATCCATCATTATCACAGAGATTGCTTGAGTTATCTTCTGAAATTTTATTCATAGTGTTTACAAATTTATTCAAATGTGTACTTGATGTTGATAAACCGTTTGTTTTTAAGCAAATCCGTTCCGTAACTATCGTTATTTAGTTGAAACTAATGTACCCGTGCCGTCAAAATTGACGGCAAGAAGGAATATATTATAAGTTATTTTAAAACACTTTTATGTTTAACATTCTTTTTATAGATACAAATATTTAAGTAAATGTTCTGTTTATAATGAACAATATTAAATAACATTTACCGGCTTGAATGTCAGAGAAATTTTCATTGAAAATATTCGTCCTCCGACGGGATTCGAACCTGTATCCTATACGGAACCATCATATAGCCTGACGTGCCTTTTGGCCGATTCGGCCACAGAGAATCGTTCGGTTAGAAAGGTCGAATTTACTGCTTTTAAACGTCAATCATCCATGAATCTCTCACGTACATTCATGTCTGCTCATGGCGTCTCAAACGTAAACAAATGACGTCACACATTATGAAATGGACAAAGTCCGACAATTATTTTAAGACATTTTTATGTTTAACATTCTTTTTATAGATACAAATATTTAAGTAAATGCTCTGTTTTATAATAATGCCATGTCTCTTCAAGATGTAAGCGATCCGCACTTAATTTTCTTTATTCTCTGGGATTTTCTATAATTCTCTTTAGAAAAGATACGGCATGCCTCCTCCCCTAGTTACCCATAGCTAGCAAAAAAGGAGAAAGGACATCAATAAAAGTAAACCTAATAGTTTCGGCTAAAATTTGAACCCAGACTAGAGAATCAATTTTTTCTCGAGGGTAACCATTAACTCACCAACATGTCTCTGTAAGCAAGTGCGGAATAAAAACTAAAGTGAAAGAAACCATTTTGTAATATTAGAGAGATAATAACTTTTTTTATCTGTTCTTTTTCTTCTGATTTTTTTATAAATTATTTTTTAGCGGCAGACCCCATAAAATGCTTATAAAATATCATCGCTCAAATAAAGATTATATATCGCCCCTCTCCCACCCAAAAAAATTAGATTGGTGTATGTTTGGAGGATAAAGCTTCTAAGGTAAACAGTCTTTTGCAATTAAAGTGCTCGATATCAAGAGATAAGGCAATAAGAATAAAAAAAGATTTCCGTTTTACAATCAGTTTTCCTGAAGAGTGGATGCAATCACCGTGAAACACAAAGTAGAGATATCATAAATGAGAATTTGATTTTATTTGTTATCAAATAAGTAGTAATAGGACAACTGGCCCCTGGACTATTGCCCTCAGCAAAATTTAACCCTAAAAGTTACCATCTTGACAATTGCTCCCATAGGACAACTGCCAGCGGATAACGGAATTTGCTTTTCACTTCAATCAACCAGAAGATTGCAGGACATTCAGCACCGCCTACGCGAAAACGTTATGAAAATTAGAAACAGTCAGAATAAAAAATATCGTACAAGACTACGAGGACCGTCATTGGACATCAGAATTTTTGAGATGTATAGCCCATAATTTTGTCATTTTAGTTGTATACTTCTAGTGATATAAAAATATAAATTGGACTTGTATCAGTAAACCATTATTATCACCAAACACTTCATACAGTCTAAAAATATATTGGTTGTGAGTAACCTATAAAAGGTGTAAAAAGTCGTAAAAGGACAAATCAATACTATTAACTACCATCATTAAAAATTTAAATGCAACTTCAATCGTCATTTTCCGTTTCCTTAAATACTGTTGTTTTTATTCTCCATTCTCCTCAGTATCGTTTTCTCAATTTCTTTCATTCTCAGTCACCCGTTGCGTCTTAGTGGCTTTATCGACTTACTTGGAGGGAAATGATTAAAACAAGTATGTATTACATAGCAGTTGGGCGCTCTTTGCTTTATTTTAAGAGACATTTTTCGATTTCTTAATGCTTTGCTTAGTTTCTGCAATGTATATTTTCTAATCACTATGCTCCTTCAGATTTATGGCTCAGATATTTGACAACTGTGTTATTGCACTAGCCATATTTACACGGCTGCTTGATTTTGATATCTACCAATAAGCAACTTATAACTTTGGTAGCTCTCTTTTAAGAAAATCCTTGGTTTCCATTACTTTGATAAGTTCTTCCGTCTTGATTTCTTCAGTGCAAAATTATTCGTACGATCCAAAATATATTTCAGCTTTCAATAACCCACAATGGGTTGATAGGTCGTAAAAAATCAAAAGACGTCCTCGATTACCTTATTTTACTTTTCTGGGTCTGTTTTTTTCTACTCTTCTTAGGAACGTCTTACTACGTAAATATAAATGGTGCAGCCACTCGCATCCGTGGACGCCAGTCTACTAAGGCGGCTAGATAATCCCCATTGCAGATCCCGGCTCAGGCACATTTGTTTATGCTAATAGTTGCAGTATAAAGCTATGGTTTTCTGAACGGACCCTAGTTTTCTTAGAGAGCGCCTTATCTAGCGTGGCCACCAGTCTGAACAAAGCTAACAAGCTCAAAGCCTGGGACACGATGACTTGTAACTTCAAGTCAGTTTCCAAGGTTTCCGTCTGCCAATTTCAGTCGTATGGTTTTCCGGCACCAGACGGATAACACCAAGAAAACACTTTCCTGACATGCTGAGATTCGAACCCGGGTCTCATGATCAGAAAGCGAACGTTCTAACCACGTGCCCATAGTCTTGCTATACAAGTCAAACGCAATCTCTACGCGGTAGAGGTTACGTATTAATCGAATACCCTCTCGTATATATCAGTGTTTGAAAATATTTGAGAGAGCCCTATAAATAACTTAGTATAATTTATGAAGAATAGGTATACACTTTTCTATATTTGTAGTTCTCGCTCCCATAGCATTATGATCATATAATCCCATTTTTTTTCTAGAGTTTTGAACTAAGCAACATTATCCGGTGGATTCTGCTCCTCATTTTCTTCCTCAGAATCCTAATCATTACTTGTCTCATTAAGTTGATTGTCCGACAAAGTTCGCATTCATTGACTCCTCGTTTGTTTATCATCAGAATAAAGATAGATCTAACGAGGACTTCCGGGATTTCACCGTTGTCGTATATTTTAATAACACGTGGCGTCTTCATGTGTCTGTCTTGTACGTTTCCTTTCTCTGCTGCTTACTTACGGAAAAGTTGTCATCTTCTTTCTTCTGTCTCAAATTTTAACAAATATAACATTTTCACTTGCTAACTTTAACAATGGAAAGTTATCAATTGTTAATTTTAACAAATATAACGTTTATTAATTGATAATTTTAATAAACAAAAAAATTGTCGGTTACTAATTTGAAAATCTGGAAAAATATTTCAAAAGACTCGAAGCCATCCAAAACACACGCAACAAAATTATGCAAGTGTCATTAGGCGATTGTAATGTTGCCCATTCGAGAAACTCTTTTAAAGGTGCAATTTTCTGTTTTGATCAGTGTCATGCCTGGACGTACCTATTCTATTATTAATAGACGCTCCCACACATAATAAGTAGTAGTAGTAGCGGTAGCCAGTTGGGCTCAGTGGTGTTCAGCGAGTCAGTCTATATCGGACATTTAAGCACCAACCATCACAACTAGATTGTTGCGTCATTAACTCTTATTTCAAGTTCCTAACGTTTTGTACGTCGAACCTAATTTAGGACGACTTATTGAAATACAAGCCTCCACTGTGAAAACTACTCTACAGCAATCAGTGATATCCGCTTTCTGACAGGTTGTCGTTTCTTGATTTGGGATGACTAAATCCTATTTTCTGACGTAAATTGTGTTTGGATCTGAATGCATTGTATTAATCATTTTATAATTTGATGAAACCGGGAAAATAGCAACGAAACGAGAAATTGATTTCTTAGAAGATTGCAGCTTTTCTGTCTTGTTGCTGTCGATTTGTTGTTTTCTATCTAGAGACATGTCTATGCCGACATGTGGAACCCCTGCTTTTAATGACGCACGACTCTTGCAAAATAATGCTGAAAGCATTTCAGCATAAAAGACACCTTTTCACAATCTTTTCAGAACTCTTTTTATATATCAAACACTTTAATCAACGCTTGCAAATAACTGCACGACGTCGCTTAGAATTGAAGCAAAAAACAATACAGTCACGCAAAAGAGAAAGACGTAAAGCGACATATTTTTTTTTCATTGTTTTTTTTTTTTTTTTTTGTATTTTTTTGCAATTCGTGTCACATTACACGTAATTTATCATCTGCAGTAAAGTGTAAACGCCAAGTTAAAACCAAATCTCTACAACGAAACGCTTAGAATGAAGTTATTTACACACGTTGATATTATTTTACTACCGTTATTT